AGCGACAACTCCATAGCATGTAGCAGCGATATAGCTAGACTTACCCGTCAGATTGGTTTGTGATAATTGAAAGCAAACAAAGGACCAATAGAACGTCCCACGCTAGCCTGGTATTTGGATCAGTTCACGACGAGGATAAGACCGGAAGTAATGACTTATTTATTGCAAAAATAATGTTGCGTACCGTCTTCAACGATTTCACCTGGTTCGTCAGTTCTAGGTTACCTATGGTTTCCACAGTCTGTGTACGAAGCAGTCGAGCCTGGACTGCTGTTGTTACGAGTAAAAGAACGATTTATTCCGTCTCGAAGAGAGCCATTGCGCAGCTGAAAGCGAGCAAGATCCTCCAGGCAACGTTTCGACGCGCAAGAGTGTGGGTTGCAAAAATGAATAGGACAAGAAAGATTTGCTTAGGTCGTGGTGAGTGTTCGAATAAAAAGCGGGCGTAAACACGGACCGTAAAGGAAGATCTCCACCTGAAGGGGTCAGCAAGACATATCATATTTTGCGCGCTGCGCTTACACATGTGGCGACAATCTGGAATACTAGGTCCTGCCAGTTTTCATCAAATAGGACGGGGTCGATAGTGGATTGCATTTTGAAAGGCCAGACTTCTGGAGTGAGGTGGGAGGAGTCGGAAGGCAATGGGTGCGTTGGGATGCGAGGTAGTCTCTTCTAAACAGACACTACAAACATGAAAAAACTCGTACCTCGTTATGTTGTAGATGCGAGGCGATTTAAAGGGGGAAAACTGAAGCAAGCGGTATCATATCACCCTTAGATAAGATCATCTCCTGCAGTTCAATGAAGGGAGATCTCGGAGGTAGGTAGGTAAGTAGGCAGGTAGAATCAATCTTGACACAAGGAACCCCCACCGCATCAGACTTTTGACAGATCTATTGTGGCGTTGTACATTGGGTTTAAAAGAGTGCGTAGTCGATTGGTAGAACTCCGCAGATCTCGGAGTTGCTCAATGTAGGTGATAAGGGTCGATTAGACGTTTGAGACAACTCGACAGCGTTAGGACCTCGGCCACCGGGGCAGCAAACGGAAAATCGTGATTCGTGCGAGCTCATGGGATAGAATGGGAGTCCACAATCCCAGCGCAAAACCGAAGATGAACATATTTAATTTAATACACGTTGCTGACCCAGACTGAACTCGATATTTGGGCTTGCCCGAGATGGCCGGAACATGCTGTTGTTACTGGGGCAAGTACGATATGTGGAAGAGAAAATGAGAGCAACGAATAGAGCTTTAATTCCTACTCTTGGAATGTTCGTTGTATTAATACTCGGGGTGCTCTTTCAATCACTGACCTTTCCGGGGTCCTTTAGTCTGACTCAACTTCACACTAAAGCGAGGTACATGTTAAAACTTTCCACCTTGATCTGGATATTCTGTCCAGTAGCACAATTAGGTTCTCGACATTCAGTGCAGATGCCGCAGAGATCATACAAGTCCAGAAGCCTCCGAGGCAAAGAATTGTCATGGATTTCACGGTATGTTAGGACACGCAGTTTAAAAGGATGTGGAGCAATCCAGAGGCGTCTTTGATGACATTCCGGTCCAAGTTAACAAAATTCAACCGTGAGAAAATAATTTCTTCCACTGATGGCACCGCTAGAATGATTCTGGGTGCCGCTGCGGGACTACATTGTTTATGTTGAGTGACGGTGTATGAATTCGGTAGGTTGAACCCTCCAGGGAAGGTTGGGAAGGTCACATGAAAACAAATGTGGATCGGATGTTTATCTCCCCGGGCTCTCGACTTATGTTTTCAACGAAGATACCCAGAAGATATAAGCAGATTGGGATGATAATTTATAGCTAAATTGCCCATACTCACAGAAATCTATGGTCAGACATATGTCGAACTTATGTTTTTTTCTTCGTCTTTCTTTTGAAAGATTTGTGCCGTATATCATGAGTTCAGCACTTTAGAACAGCGAAGGACATCTCTCGAGTACTCTTCAGATGTCCAAAGGGGTCTTCTGGGTCTTCAGATGGGCGGCACTCACCAAAATGGTCGGGAACCGAAAAGGCGGGGATAAATCCAAACGGAGAAAGATTCATAATGGGAGATCTACCACTCCACTCAACACTGGTTTAAAATAATGTTTACTCAAGTCTAATTGGCGAGGCGAGTCCCAACATGTACGCTCCGCCGTACTGACCCGGGCATTTCCGCCATCTAGGCCGTAAGCGGAATGTTGACAATATCCACCCCTCGGGTCGCAAGCGGTATTGTCGAACGGGTAAGTCTCACTTCCTGTCTCGACGACAATGCTTTGACCTTCGCCCCAGTGGCCGGAAGCAAGGTCAATCCCCGCCGCGACGCGACGCTTGAATCACCAAAGCACGACACTTTGTCCTTGTCGCCTATATACTCCTGGCGAGACAGCCTGAGTATTTTCTTTCGCTCGTACATACTTACTCGCCTGTACGCCATCTCGGCATCTCCTCCGTCTCCCAATAGACTCCCGGAGCCTCTTTGAGGCTGCTCTTGGCTAAACATTTGAGCCCTCGCGCGAACGACTTCAACGACGACAATTAGACACCGAAAACGCATGTACGTAGGTAGGTAGGTAGGATTACGCGGCACGGTCCCGCTCAGGAACGTCGGTTCCAGGAATTATCCCGGTGTACACACTAAATAGCTATACCACCTCCCCTGGACCTCTCCATATCCCAACAGCTGAGCTTTCGGTCGCAGCGGGGCATCGCAAAACACTTACACCCGAGGTAGAACTGCCAGAATTAGAATTCAAATCGTCACATCAGCACTGGCTAGCCTCAAGCCCGTACACGCCACACTGGAACCTCGTAAAACACCTCCAAGACACCAAACGCAAATTTTGCAAGCAGTGGAATAGTCGAGCGTGGGTAAATGTTGAACTCCGTGTTCAAGAGTACCAGCATCTGGATGCGCAGTTCTGGAAGATCGGCGAAGAGTGTATTTGACCAAGAGAACAAGAGGAAGTGCAGAAGCAGATTCCCATTATAACCGCCAATCTTTCATTTCAACTGACACAAACACCTCACTTAGGTTGGCCTCCCACGGGTGCAGCCAGGGAGGTTAAACTAGAAGGTATGGCCTTGGCGGTGAAGGCAAAGGGTTCGGCCGTGACAGTCCCGTAGCGTAATGGAAAATGAAAGCCACGGGTTTGGGGATGCCGGAACGTAATGAGGACCAAAAGAAATGCCCGTTACCTGAATCGAACAGGTGATCTTCGCATTCCGACACAAATGTACGAGTGCGACGCCTTACCATTTGGCCTGCGTCGGGTCCCACGGTTCAATCTAGATCTTGACGTTGAGGAAAGAAACTGTTCTTCACTGTTCAACTTTCTCTCTAACACTGAGATTAGTTGAGCAGAGAACCCGCTGTCTTCCTTGTCGTTTATTGGACCAAGAGGACAAGAGGAGACGCAAATGCCCATTAGAACAGCTGATCTTTCATTTCCAAATGACATAGGCACCTCACTTAGATTACCCACGGTTCCAGGAGGGGATGTTGAACTGGATGGTACCTTAGCAGTGGAACAGGGCACGCAAGACGTTCAGCCGGGGTAAAATGAGACGAGGGTCTATTTTTTATTTTTATTTTTATTGGGGGGGAAGCCACTGGTTCAAAAGAACTGCCTATTACCTGAATTAAACAGGTGATCTTCTCATTGTGTGGCGAATATACGAGTGAGACACCTTACCATTTGGCCTGCATTGGTCCCCACAGTTCAATGGTTGACATTGAGCAACGAACTAGTCTTCACCGTGACTGCTGTTCATTTGACCAAGAGGACAAGAGGAAGAGTTGTACTGAAATAGTGCCATACTGACTAGGTGCAAACACAGATTTCCATTATAACCGCCTATTTTTCATTGCAAAACGACACAACATATTAAGGGGGCCTCCCACAGTTCGAGCAGGGGACAGTGATCTATAGAGTAGGGCCTCAGGCTTTATGGGGCATGGAAAAGGTAAGGACGTGATGGAAAACAAAAGCCACTGGTTGAATGAAAGGTTTGAGGATACCGGAAAGTACGGAGGTTCAAAAAGGATGCCCATTACCTGAATCGAACAGGTGATCTTCTCATTGCGTAGCGAATGTACGAGTGAGACTAGACTCGCAACCAGTCGAATTTAGTAAGCAACTTTTGATCACGAGACAAGCAAAGGGATCAAAAAAGCTTCCTAAAGCGACTGGTACATCTGGTCACGATTTTGGGTGGACCCGCCAAAGGTGTGCGCGGACTTGGTTGTGGAGGGTTGTGAATCATGAAAAAAAGTGTCAAATGTTCCTGCCAAAGAAGTCATTATTTTTGAATTCCAAGTTGAATGAGCCTAACTTATTTTTCGAGTTCAGGTCAAGGGTGGTCGACGTCATCCGCGCACGGACCCATCAACGACGTTGAACACTCAGGTGTAATATCCCAAAAAAAGTATGTCTCATTCCGTTTAGATTTACAAAATCCCCAACTTTGTCTATATGACTTTCAACACTTTTTTTTGACGTTCCGCATCCTCTTCGAGCTCGAAAATTCTAAGTCCGGGCACTGATTTGGCCTGCCCACTCAAAATGATGCCCGAATGTCCCAGCCGCTTCGCAACCGTGATCAGCGCAGCCACGTGAGGCGAAGCGGATGGTCACGAGCCTAGAGTGAGACGCCTTACCATTTGGCCTGCGTTGGTTCCCACGGTTCAATGCCTGACGTTGAGCAAAGAAAGCGGTCTTCACGTGGTTCATTTGACCAAGAGGAGAGGAAATGCAGAAGCAAGTTGCTCAGTAGAACAGCTGATCTTTCATTTAGAAGCAGATTCCCACTATAACCGCTGATGTTTTATTGCAAAACAATACAAGTACAACAGCTCACTGAGGTTTACCGCAGTTGCGGTAAGGGAGGTGAAAGGGTACAGCCTTGGGGTAAAGGCAAAAGGCTTCAAAATGAGAGCGACTGGCTAAATTGAGTCGCCAAAAGGCAAAAAGGTGCAAAAGATATGCCCATTACCTGAATCGAACAGGTGATCTTCTCATTGCGCAGTGAATGTACGAGTGAGACGCCTTACCATTTGGCCAAACGGGCGTTTTTGAAGCGTTCTGAAGTACCCACAAGTGCCCCGGAGTGCCTACGAAGTAACCAGAAGACCCCGGTCCGGGTCAGGGACTCCAAGTCTGAGGTTGAACAAAATCCTTCTCATGGATCCAGGGGCCGGCGTGGATAGTCCACTGCTACAATCCTTCCCATAGGACCATGGGCCTGTCTTGTGAGTGTGGCCATTGCTGGGTCAAAGTGCTATTTTGACCCGTGCACTGCCAGGGTCAAAATCACCTCATCAAGGGATTAAAATCCTTCCCATGGATCCATGGATCCCTTTTGTAGTCCATGAGTCCTCCCCCCACCATTCGTGCATGCAGGCAGTATATTCAAGACATATTTCCCTTTTGGGATGCGAGGCGGAGTGGCCCAATCGAGATTCGTGATCGGATCAGCTGCGGGGTCATCCGGTCCGCTGACGGCCGACGGTATCATCAGGGATAATAATCAGACTTGACCTTGACTTGACCTCGCCATTCAACTCTAGCGAGAACAGAAGGCATATGGGAAGGTTTGTGCGTCCAGATTGGCTCTGATGAAGCGCTAATTCAAATTTCCCATTTGATATCTCACACGGTCCTCAAATGACTTTAATCTCCGCTCGCCGTCGTCTTACCAGGGCAGTGCATACAAGAGTTTAAACGTGGTTCAAGGCACAGCAAGAAATAAAGTACTTGCCCGAGAACAAGATCGGGGCTTGACTTTGGCCTGAGCGGATTCGGCAATGATCAGTGCACCGACGTGCGTCGAGCGAGTACGAGATCGCGGCTTGACTTCAGCTTGAATAGAATATCTACTGAGCTTGTTGTGGAAATCACACCCAGGATAGAATTCTTTTAGGCTGGATTAAAAGACTAGTGAAAACAACTTGTATTAGTGGGCAAATACATTGTAGTTAAAATAATGCAAATTGACACCGTGAAATAGCCTTTGCAAAGCAAGATAATTTAGTTCAACTTTTTTGTTCTAGGAAACCATTGTGTTTCATTCACATTTGAAAGGTGATTGAAGTCAAAGAGAATTGAGTGCAGAAATAAACTGTTTGATTCGACGGGTTCTCAACGGATTAAGGAAACAAAGGGTTTCCACCTTTGTTTTAGGCTGGATTAAAAGACTAGTGAAAACCCTTTGTTTCCTTAATCCGTTGAGAACCTGTCGAATCAAACAGTTTATTTCTGCACTCAATTCTCTTTGACTTCAATCACCTTTCAAATGTGAATGAAACACAATGGTTTCCTAGAACAAAAAAGTTGAACTAAATTATCTTGCTTTGCCAAGGCTATTTCACGGTGTCAATTTGCATTATTTTAACTACAATGTATTTGCCCACTAATACAAGTTGTTTTCACTAGTCTTTTAATCCAGCCTAAAAGAATTCTATTCTGGGTGTGAATGTTGAAAACTTGAAATTGAACCAAAATTGAAGCAGGGTGCGAACGTTCAAAAGGCTTGATTCACGTCGACAATGCTGTCCTGGAGGGTACAGCAGGAGTCCGAAACCATCAGCTCAGACTGAAATGCAAGGGACTGAGTTAAAACTCGGGTCCCACGAAACCATGGGTCCGTCAGTCAATTCTGTTCATGGGTCGGAGTCTTAATCCTTCCCATGGAACCATGGGTTAGTTTCAGGAGCGTGTATATTACCGGTCAAAGTGTTATGTTGACCCGTGCACTGCCCGGGTCAAAATCAAGACATTAAAATCCTTTCCATGGATCCATGGGTCGCTTTTATAGTCCATACACAGTCCTTCTCACCTTTTGTGCCAGGAGGCAGTCTATTCAACAGGTATTTCCCTTTTGGGTGTGAGGTGGAGTGACCCAATCCAGAATCGTGATCGGATCACCCGGGCCGCTGACCGCCGACGGTCAGACTTGACCTCGCCATTCAGTTGAACTTAACTACACTTGAAAGGCGCACCCGAGTGTACCTGTGCGTTTTCCCTTGACATCATCCTAATTGTGTACGTTTCCGACGAGGTTTACAGCGTATTGAGTACAAGGGTTTAAACATGGTTCACGGCAAAGCAAGAAATAAAGTACTTGCCCGCAATTTGCCATTTAAATCTTCGTGTGCACAACATACATTCAGTACATGCTACTGCACAGCCGGTCAGTAAAATGCAATGGTCAAAAACATAAGACCCACTACGGTTACCTTCCACAGCAGCGGGACAAAGACTGGTGGAGCGTGCGATTGTAATATCCGAGTTGGAAGTGTCAGATACGCGAAAAGACAGGAGGCCTCCGGATGTAAATACGAATTTGGCGGGCCTCCGCTTGCGTTCGCATTGAGTAGGGAGCTGAGGTATCGAGGAGGAAAACGCTTGCCATTGTTCAACTGCTAAACTGGGAGGTTCGGAACACGGTCGGTTTTCCAGACCTGAGGTGAACAACGAATGGGGAATACAGGGAGTAATGGCGAGGTTTGTCGTCCGGGACTCGCAGTTCAATGACCTGCAACGTGGGAAGCAAGCCGAGTAGATCTCCCCAGCGCGTCAAAAAAAGAAAGATTGTGAGATGCACTGCATAGGGAGATACGGTCGCAGGTGCACCAGGCGCGGGATGAGTTTAAGACATTGTCTAAAGCGAGGGGAGCAAAATCTAAATCCACCTGGGCCAGGTCCAGCGACTCCAGGGCGGCGCGGACAGTTTAAGAAATTCCAAAAAGAGGGCCTGAATTATGGTTGTTATAATCGACGAGCGGAACGCAGAGCGACGTCAGAGCCGGTAAACACAGTTGTTGCAGAGTGCTCTCGTGAATGCAGGCATGGATGTGGCGCATCACGTCGACCGGGGAAAAACTCAAATGTCGGATAGAGGGGCAGTCAATGATGAACGGGCCACCACCCATCGCAGATGTTGAAAAGGTCTAACCAGGCCAGGTTGGGTGCATCGAGAATCAATGTTGCAATACCCTCGAGCCCGATAGGGATGTTCAAGACTGAGATGGTTAATGAGTGGAGCTTGGGCATCGGGTCAACGGATGGTCGTCACATTCTTCCATATGAATTCTCGAGCCGCCCTGCGTGCTTCTTGAAGTGCAAAATCGTGTTTAGCAGCCCCTCCAGATACATGCGCAGCCTCCGACAACTGTCCTGCGGGTCTAAGTGGTAGGAGTTCGGAGGAAGGCATTCACAAAACATTGTGAATACGAGCTCTGCGGGTAGACAAGTGATGAGGTCGTGCATGAAAGCCTTTGTGTAGTTGCATGAGTGCCGCATTTTTTCGGTAGTTGATGTATCAATTTGGAAGTCTCAGATATGCGAGAAGAGGCACACAATGACAGGAAGCACCTCGTGCTTGGCCGTGCTTAGCTGCGCGCTTACGATCACGTTCCTGTCAAACAAACTGAGCCACTCCTCTCATCTTCTCGACCACAGCGACGTGCAGGAGACGCGTGGGTGCAACAACGAGCCCTGCGCATCTCTACCGCTCGCCGTGTGAACATGTCCACCGCGTTCATTGTTCACTATTTTTTTTCTTCTCTTCTCCGTCCAAGAAATACGCGTCGTAGTAGGGCTGTAGGGCCTTCCCGCTTGAAGGTTTGCCTGGGAAATTCTCTCGCTTCCTTAAGCCCAGAAAGACGCGTATTTCATGGGCGTGAATTTTTTTTTCACCCTTGCCTGCGTTCGGCGCCCGGCCCGCCAGCACCGCCACACCAATTTTCTCACCAACCAACTCGAAGGAACGACAAAGCGCGGAGTGCTCTTGGCGCTGTCGCGCGCTGTGTGCGGACAGAGCTCCTAGGGAGTCTTCCAAACCAATCCCTGGATACCTTCTGGGCAACTTCGTCACCACTCTGCCCTTGCACGTCGGCAGGATTGTTGTGCTTTTCGGCGCGACCTAGCACTTTTGGCGCGACCTGGCGTTGCATGCGCCCCGGAAACCCTGTTTGTTGGACGAACTATGTTGTTTATTGCCAGCTCTTTCTCTATTCTGGCCGTATGCATACTAGGCTTGTAATGCAATTTTATGCTTGATCTGGCAAGGTCAATGCTGCCCACAACGAACAGCCCAACCAGGATTGGTACACTACGGTGAGTGTGGCTCGTCGTTCTCTTTTGTTTGTAGACCATGACTGACCCAATCTCTTTACCTAGCCTTATCTTCTTCTTCAATAATCACCCTTGTTCCGCCGCGCTGAACATCTTGCGCGCTCATGGGCCTGCTATCCCACGGTTGAACTAGTCGTCGTCGGTCCGTCGTGCCTCTGAAAGCACGGACGGACTTCTTTCATCTGCCTGGATTCAGCGGTGATGAGCGCAATGACGCGCTGTTTTGAGCAACGCGCGGGAAGCGAAGTAGAACGCGGTCACGTTCGCTGCGCGACGTAGAAATCATTGCATTTGATGCTAACAGCGGGTAAATTCCCTTTTGCGTCACCGAGCAAGCCGTCCAGCACGCTGACTTCCTGACTTCCGCTTTTCCTCTCTTCCTCATCTTTCCTTGCCCGAACGAAGGAAGCAAACCCTGACGAAGAACATGCCTCGCTCGAGAAAAAGATCGGTGAGTTTCCGCCCTCTCGACGCGTACTTCTACCGCGTTTTCCTCATTTGCGACACGACGGCTCATTATTTTTTTCCAGGCGTCCCAATCTCCCTCCGATGGCGAAAGTCGCGCTCAAGGACTACGAGCCGTAAGTAAACCCCATTCCCGATTCGTTTGCGTGACTGACAGGTCGTAGACGTCTGCTGCAAACGAGGTGCGAAATCTCTGTCTCTTTCCTTTTTTCTTCATCTCATCGGTGCGTAGGAGAACCCGACAAACAAGCCCCCCCGTCAAAAGCGCCGCACGGCCAAGAGGCGCATCGTTGTCGACTCGGATGTACGCAGTGTTTCTTTTCTTGCTTTTTCTCGGCCTTACCTTGACGTAGGAGGAGTCGATGGAAGCAGCTCCAGTTGAGGCGCCTCGGACAGCGGCCATGGAGGGCGTGCTGGTGGACTCGGATGTATGTGTTTTTTTATCGTGTTTTCCTTCCATACTAACTG